CTCACCTCTTCCAAATGGTCTTCCTCTCTGGTATGACTCAGATGGATTTCTTAACCTTGCCTTGTTCAGGGCTGCCAGATGTTCACATAGAATCAAATCACTTATTTTTCCAGGTTTTTGTTGTAAGAGGGATATAGGAAGCGTCTAACTAGTCCACCATGTTGAGCATGCCTCCAGATGTAATTTTTATTTTCCTTAAATTTTGGAATTATTTAAGAGGAAAGTTTTACTTGAACAGCAGATACTTAGGGTTTAGGGGTATACTGTCAATGTATGTGGGTACATTGCCAATTATCTACCTTCACTTGTGGAGGAAGGAACATGGTGCTGCATTAGCCAGTCTTAAAAATTTTAAATAAAGATGGTAGATGAATGGTAGACAATAGTGGATTTTTCTTAAAGGCAAATATGAATCAAATCCAAAATTCTTTTCCTGTAGGTTGGAGGGTTTTGTCATGTCTCACAAATATAACCCTTAAACAAAGGTCTAAGCTTTACCTCAGTATGTTTAGGTACAGCATCATAAAATGGTATTGATTTCCTTGGAGAATTCCAAATGTTAATTCCATCTGTTATATTTCTATTAAAGTGATTAATATAACATTTTCATAGACTTTGCTGTTTCACCAAGTATAGTCATTATTTCTTTGATTTGCTTGAATATGTCATTTCAGAGCAGGACTGTTGCAAAACAGGGACAATGTTTTACTTGTTCAAGGCAGGCACCCAGACCAGAGGATCCCTTCCTGTCCTTTCTGGCTCTAATATTAAAGGTTTGAGATTTACTAGTATTGATAGAATAAGTTCCAGAATAAAAAGTTATTAACATATTCTAGTAGAGTTTTCCTATAATATGGTTTTGGAGCCTGATTTACACTCAAGGTTAAGTGTCTGGTATTCGTTACCTGTTATTATTATCGGAGTTGCCATGAGTCAGAATCGATGGCAATGTTTTTTTTTTTTTTTTACGTTTTTATTATTGTTTTTATTGCTATTACCTGGAGAAGGAAAGCAAAAGAAAACTCAGCACCTCTCTCCTGTAAAAGCAAGTCATCCCAAATCAAATGTTTTTTAGTATGGGCATTAGAAAAAATGATTCCAGTGATTTCATTTCTTTTGCCTTTTAAATAATTTGATTCATTGCTGTAGAATTTTTTTAGTTAAATTATTTCTATTATTGTGATTGATAACATACATACAACATACATATGTATATATATGCATGTGCATATATATATATACACACACACAATTACCTATAAAGTAACAGTAATAATGATGAAAATACTCCCAAACTTGCCCCTTGAACACTTTTAACAAAGGATTTTTTTTGAGCTTATGTAGAAAAGTCTCTTCTTGAGAGTGTAGCTTCTGGAGGATTATATATAGAAACAGAGAGGGAGCAAGGGAAGTTGGCCTATTCAATTAGCTTTATGATCAATGAGAAGACATTCCAGCAAAAATCACCCTCATATCATAATGGTCCTAGCAAGTTCACAAGAAATCAAAGAACGATAAAATCAGTAAAGATAGATTTACCATACACTTACTATATATTAAAAACACAAATACATAAAAATAATCTAATGTATATCATTTTTTTAAAACTGGTATTTCAAGCATCTGAAATTTCTTTTATCCAAATGCTATATGAAAATAATTTATCAGATTCACAAAGCATTTATAAATTACTCTTTACTACATACCACTAACTAGGGGAAAGTAGTTTTGGAAAATTCTTACCTGGATAAGATGTGATGGCACCGTAATGACACAGGCTGAAAGGGAGGTTCGCAGAAGACCACGAAGAACATAGAGGAACTTGGTAAGACTGTGACTATTGTTGCAGTTTTCTGTACAGCAAATGTCATCTCCCCACAAAGGTGAGCCAAGATTCTGAATTCCTATTCTTAAAATGTTTTTCTGTTTTTTCTAAACGAAATTGAGAGGGGGTAAACACAGTAAGTTTTTTAAACTAATAGGATATTTCTTTTACCTTTACTAGTCAATTCTTATTTTTATATAAAACAGATCAGGGAGATAATGTCAATAGACATATGGCAAAAAGTTTTATGTACTATTAATGATAAGCCAATATAAAGGAAATATTTTAGGTGATAAAAGTATAAAAAATAACAGAATCAATTTTTTTCATTTTTGGGAAATTTGAGGAGTATCACAAGCCTCTATCTTTTCTTTTTTGAACAGTTTTAATATTAACCAAAGAAGACCTAATGCTTTGAACTACGGTGTTGGTGAGGGATATTGAATAAACCATGGACTGCAAGAAGGCTGAACAAGTCTGTCTTGGAAGAAGTACAGCCAGAGCGCTCACTGGAAGCAAAGACGGTGAGACTTCGTCTCACGTATTTCAGACATGTCATCAGAAGGGACCAGTCCCTAGAAAAGGACATCATTCTTGGTAAGGTAGGTGGTCAGCAGAAAAGAGGAAGACCCTCAACGAGATAGACTGACACAGTGGCAGCAACAATGGGCTCGAAGATAACGATGATTGTGAGGATGGTACAGGCCTGGGTAGGGTTTCATTCTGTTCTATAAAGGGTCACTATGAATTGGAACCAACTCTGTGGCACCTAACAACAACAACCATATTAACACTTATATTTATTTATTTATTTTTAAAAGTGTGTTTTAGGTGAAAGTTTATACAGCAAATTAGGTTCCATTTTAAAATTTTTATACAAATTGTTCTGTGACATTGGTTACAATTTTCACAATGTGTACGGCATTCTCATTATTTCCACTGTTTATTCTGCTTCCATTGATCTAGCTTCCCTTTCCCTCCTTGCCTTCTCATCTTTGCTTTTTGGTAAATGTTGACCATTTGGTCTCATACAGTTGATTGTTTAAGGGAGCACATTTATCATGGCTGATATTGGTTATTTTGTAAACTAATCTATTATTTGGCTGAAAGATGACCTCCAGAAATAGTTTCAGTTCCAAGTTCATAGGGTATCTTAGGGTGATAGCCTCGGGGGTTCCTCCAGTCTCCATCAGTTCAGTAGATCTCGCCTTTTTTAGGAATTTGAATTTTGTTCTACATATTTCTCCCATTCATCCGGGACCTTCTATCATGTCTCTGGTCAGAATGGCTGCTAGCGGTAGCTGGGCACCATCTCGTTCTTCTGGTCTCAAGTTAGAACAGGCTGTGGTTTCTGTGGGCTATTAGTCCTGTGGACTAGTTTCTTCTTTGAGTCTTTGGTTTGCTTCATTCTCTTTTGCTCCAGATGAGTAAAGACCAACAGTTGTATCTTAGATGGCCACCTGCAAGCTTTTAAGACCCCAGACGCTATTCAACAAACCAGGATGTAGCATATTACCTTTATAAACTATGTTATGCCAATTGCCTAATGAATGATAACATATTTAAATGAAGCACGTACACAGCACATCACAACATAATTGAGCATAATACTTCAACACAGGTAATACATTTATATCTTTTAAAAATTGACATTAATTGTAAAAACAAATGCTAAATTACAAATTCCTGGGTCATTTGGGCCATATAATTCTTTTGTCATGCCATATAACAATGTAGCATACTGTGTGGCATAATAAGATTTAAAAAATAAAATTGTGTTGGGCGGAATAGTTAAAATTCTGTTGGTACAATAAATAGTTAAATTCATTTCTTTGACAACATGTAAAATATTTAATCTAGTATTCTAATTTATGTAAAATCAATGTTAAAATTTCATTTTTATTGTATATTTCTTAGGTATCTGTAAATCACAATTTATAAACAAATGAAATTATGACACAATTTATAAATGTTTCCACTTTAAATATCTTTACAAATGAGCTATACTATTTTACTTACTACCAAAGTTAATCATAAGTAGTATGTATTAATAGTTTCTTAATATTCCTTAGAGTCTATTTCTATATGCAGCTTTATAAACCAGTTTATTTGAAAATAGTAATAGAGATAATAAGATGAAATTTTCCTTTTATTTTTTATTGTACTTTAGATGAAGGTTTACAGAGCAGATTAATTTCTCATTAACCAATTAATACATATACTGTTTTGTGACATTGGTTGCCAACCTCATGACATGTCAACACTCTCTCCTTTGCGACCTTGGGTTCCCCATTACCACTTTCCTGTCCCCTCCTGCCTTCTTGTCCTTGCCCCTGGGCTGGTGTGCCCATTTAGTCTCATTTTATTTTATGGGCCTGTCTAATCTTTGGCTGAAGGGTGAACCTCAGGAGTGACTTCAGTACTTAGTTAAAAGGCTGTCTGGGGGCCATACTCTCAGGGTTTCTCCAGTCTCTGTCAGACAGTAATTCTGGTCTATTTTTTTGTAAGTTAGAATTTTATTCTACATTCTTGTATAGCCCTGTTCAGGACCCTCTATCGTGATCACTGAGCAGTCAGTGTGGTAGCTGGGCACCATCTAGTTGTACTGGACTCAGTCTGGTGGAAGCTATAGTACTTCTGGTTCATTAGTCCTTTGGATTAATTTGTCCCTACTATCTTTGGTTTTCTTCATTCTCCCTTGCTCCAGATGGGGTGGGACCAGTGGAGTATCTTAGATGGCCGCTGGCAAGCCTTTAAGACTTCTGAAATTTTCCTTGTAAAAGCTAGTATTTATTTCAGTGTCAGAAAATTATTTTGACTCAGGAATAATATTTTTTGAAGTAGTGTACGAGAGATGCATTTTTGTGGTTTTCTGAACTCGTATACAGCTTCTCAGACAGACATACAGAGTAGGTAATTTAACAATACACCTTATAATTTAATGATATGGAAATTTAATTACTATATTTTACTTCCAATCAAATTCGAAGTATATTTTTTCTAATGACATTGTTAAGTTTAATTTAAGTTTAGTTTTTAAGCATTCATGGTATTCATCATAGAAATGTCTCCCTCTAACCTGTCTAATCTTTATGAAAGTTAACAATGATAGAATCTCTGGTTCAGAGAGTCAAATTAGCTCCAGTTTGTTGTCTTTATCAATTTTCATTAAAAAAAAAAAAAAAAAAACAAAGATTAGCTGACCAGTATCTTCATTTTTCAATGAGAAACTGATTTGTGCTGTAAACTTTCACCTAAAGCACAATAAAAAAAAAAAAAAAAAAACTTTACTGAAAATGTTGCTGTTTTCATACTCAAATAAACAAATAAGAAAACAAACATTTCATTCCATTTCAATAATCGTTTACTTATTAAGAGTTTTTAGGGTATGTGTGTGTCTGTGCATGCGTATGTGTATATTCCTTTGCTACTGCTCTTGCTTTTTTGCATTCTATAAAATTTCTTGCTCTCAGAAGATGTATAATCATCCTGCAGCTCTCCACACTGTACCGTAGGAACTGTTATGACATGCCTGTTTCCATAGTTTCCACAGCAAGTGGGGAGAGGTGTCTGTCAGGGACCAATTTACTTCTCCAGACAGGCACTGCCACCAAAGGGAAGACATGGTGCCCACAGATCTTAGCTAGATCCCAAAATGGAGCAACAAAGAGCAAAATAAAATTGTACTAAATACCAAGGGCCATCCCAAACTGTGACATACATGAAAGCCATTTGTAAATAAATGTCTGTCTCACCACACACACTAAATATTTTCAACCTACTGTTAAACGAATGATCAAAACAATTTTTAAAATAATTTATTTTGCCGTGAAGAGTATGCTAAATACAGCAGTGAGGTTTACAACAATATTTTTAAATCCATGAATTAAGGAACAGATGTAGCTGATAATGCCCTAAGCAGTATTTTTTGACTTCTTTGTCTTCTTCAGTAAAAATAATGGTACTCCGGAAATAATTCTGCTAAAATAACATAAATGTAATGCAAATCTTTTAGCAGCTACAGCAATTAAGACCAGTGAGGAAGAATTGTGAAAGGCATAATATCTAGAAATAAAATTGCACTGATTTTGTTTAAGTTAAACTAACTGGAACATTTTTTAATAGTGGGAATTGGAAGGAAGTTTTTAAATATAGAGCTACACAGAAATAGTTGTTATAAAATATTTTTACATAGCAAATAAAAATGCATCTTTTATTCAATGAAATAACTCAAAGCATAATGTAATAAGAAATAAAATCGTAAAATAATTAATTCTTACTCATAAGGTAATTCAAAATTAAGTCTTAAATGACAGAAACACGAAAAATTTAGATAGGAAAGTACGTCTTGCTGATTCAAAGTAATTTTAAAAATGTGGCTACATTTAAACTCTGGATGCTACAAATAAATATTTTAAAATAATTAATGTTGACAATACATGTGCCCATCTTACATGCATCCATTGAAAACTTAGCTAAAACTCTATATACACATTAATAGTAGAACTAAGGCTGCCTGTGCTCTGCTTGTTTATGTCTTCTGCGCTTGGAAACAGCTTGTTCACTGTTGATTACTCTAAGACCTTACGAGTCTACCCCTAGAGAGTTTGAAAACAACATTATATACGTGATTATAAAAAGCTTTGAAGGTGTTCAATACCTGGGGATTGGATCCATCAAATCCTTCCTCATAAATGATGCTCTGAATGAAATTAAGCAGCTTTAGGTAGCCATGGGTCAGAGAACTGTTGGTAAGAAATGGTTCAAATATATAAATGGACTTACTCCACAGGAAATACAAAATCTAAGGTAAAACATGAAGTAAGTAATCAGAAGGTTCACACTTATTATATTATCTAAATATAAAATTAGATGAGCCAAAATAGTATTTAATAGTCCTAAAATATAAAGTCAGTCCATCCAGGGAATAAGTTACAAATGCCTTAAATTAACTACTCAGAGTTCTTGATATCATGGGAAGATAAACATCTGTGGAGACTGAGACGACTTAATTATGTCAGGCTCAGTTACCTCCAAGAAAATTAATGATTTAATGAAGCAACCTAAAAGATGTAGCCACTATAGCTTTTCAGGAGTAACCATAGATAATTAACACATAGTTAATGAACTGCTATGCCAAGTACACCTGAATCAATGTCCTCATCACCTAAGCTCATCTTCCATCTAAGTTTTAATTTTCTTACAACAAGTAATAAAATAATAATTTAAAAACTAGATCTTTTAAGCTAAATGAAGACGTGAGTAAAATCTCCACTAAAGTCACTGTTTACCCACTTCCTTTTGTTAAACAAAGACGATAAAATGTATGAATTTAAGAAGATTACCCAAACTATTTGCCACATGAACACTAGCATCAAGGTTACTATTTTAAAATATTTTACACATACTATGAAACATTTCAAAGAAAATTAAGCAAGAGTGAAGAAAATCTGCTTTACATTAACTGAATTAAAGATTCTGCATAATCGGTAACCTGTATACTATGGCTGAACATTAAATATCATGATAATGAGGTTCTGGAGCATAGCTATTCCATAGACATCTAAGTGCCTAATGCTGTAAAAGCTGTGGGTGATGTCAACAATATAAAAGTATTTGTTTAACTGTGATTCTAAGTATAGCAGTCATATAGTCAGAAAAAACGCTATAAAGAAAGAATGAAAAACAATTTGAAGCATACAGGTAACATTAAAGAATATCAAAAGTTAGGAAATGTGACAGACTGTTTAGTGTGCAAATTCAATGGCAGGTAGTTTAAAATATGTACATCTCTATAAACATTTTATTGAACAGCAACAGCTAGCCCAAAGTACCTATCTAAGAAAAACAAAAAAAGAATACCGAGAAAAGAATGCTATTCTATACAAAACAAATATGGCTATGGAAAATGAAGGATTTTAAAAGGTAGTATGGTTATTTCTCATATGGCAACTTGATTTCCTTCCTCCCTTCCTTCTTTCAGTAACTCGACTTTCAATGAAAATCCAGTGGATTACCTTGGCACATTTTTCCACTTTCATGAAATGTGTCTATAAACAATATTCCTTAAAGACAATGATGTGACTATTTCATATCTTGTATTTGTCCTGGCTAGCTTAACTTCCAAAACATAGTGCTGCTGTTCAAACCAGGGCTTTGAACTGGTTTGTTCTGGTTTGAACTCCTGCTGAGAATTTGCGTTTCCACCCCAGATATACTTAATCAGAATCTAAATTTTAACAAGATCCCCAGGTGATTCTTATGTATACTAAATTTTGAGAACCACTGCTCTATTAGTGGTTTTCAGAACTGGTCCCTAACCAGCAGCATTAGCATTGCCTGAGAACTTGTTAGAAATGCAAATTCTTAGCAGAGGTTCCAACTGGAATGAACTGGTTTAAAGCCCTGGTGCAAACACAGAAGATTCAATTCCTATATGGATCAATTAGCTTCGCACAGAAGGTAAAATCTGGTTCAGGTCCCAGATTCTGAAATGAATTCCAGTCAACCATTTGATGAATAGCAGTATATGTTAAAGAGGGCAGATCAAGAATATATCCAGTACATCATAATCCACCAATAGTGTATCTACCAAAGGACCGTTACGATTTCATATATGCAAAAAGTTTAAGCATTTTCCCTCCACTCAAAATTGTTCAATAATAACATTTTCCTTAATTAGTAAATTTGCTATCTGAAGGCACATTATTAAACATTACACACATAAATATTTCTTAGCTTTTTAGTTGCCACCATGTATTCAACCAACATGATCTCTTGTGTAGTTCATATTCCTACAGTCTATTAAGGTAACTATAGTAGATTATTTTGTCTTCCCGAGCCATCTTTTGATATCTCTTTTACTTCATCATTTCTTCCTTTCACTTGTAGCTACTCTACGTTCAAGAGCAAGTTTCAGAGTCTCTTCTGCCATCCATTTTGCTCTTTTTTTTTCTTTTCTGTCCTTTTAATGACTTTTTACTTTCTCCATGTATGATGTCCTTGATGTCATCCCACAATTCTTCTGGCCTTCAGTCATTAGTGTTCAATGTGTCATATCAGGATTGGAGGAAGACTCATTGACAACCTGCATTATGCAGATGACATAACCTGGCTTGCTGAAAGTGAAGAGGACTTGAAGTACTTACTGATGAAGATCAAAGACCACAGCCTTCAGTATGGACTACACCACAACATACAGAAAAAAAAATCTTCACAACTGGACCAATATGCAACATCATGATAAACAGAGAAATACTGATGCTATCAAAGATTTCATTTTACTTGGCTCCACAATCAATGCCCATGGAAGCAGCACTCAAGAAATCAAATGATGTATTACATTGGGCAAATCTGCTGCAAAAGACCACTTTAAAGTGTTAAAAAGCAAAAATGTCACTTTGAAGACTAAGGTGTGATTGACCGAAGCCATAGTCTTTTTAATCATCTCATACGCATGTGAAAGCTGAACAATGAATAAGGAGGATGGAAGAAGAATCAATGTCTTTGAATTATGGTGCTGGTGAAGAATATTGAATATACTATGGAAACCCTGGTGGTGTAGTGGTTAACCAAAAGGTTGGCAGTTCGAATCTACCAGGTGATCCTACGAAACTCTCTGAGGCAGTTCTACCCTGTCCTATAGGGTCGCTATGAGTTGAAAGCAACTTGATGGCAATGGGTTTGGGTATGGACTGCCAGAACAAACAAATCTGTCTTGAAAGAAGCACAGTCAGAATGTTCCTTAGAAGCAAGGATGATGACATTTCACCTCATTTTGGACATGTTATCAGGAGTACTACTCCCTAGAGAAGGACATCATGCTCTGTAAAGTAGAGGGTCAGTGAAAAAGAGGAAGACCCTTAACAAGTGGCTGGAACAGTGGGCTCAAACATAGCAACTGTGAGGATGGTGCAGCACGAGGCAGTGCTTTGTTCTGTTGTATATACAGTTGCTATGAGTCGGAACCAACTTGATGGCAACTAACAACAGAGGTTAAGAGATTGGCCTAAGGTTGCACAACAATTAAGTGACAGAAGTGGCACTTAAAACTCAAGTATTCAAAAACTTCAAATTACCTGTTTTAGCTATGCTAGGATAAAGGATATGAGTGAGGTCTAGATTCAATGAAAAGTCTGTGATTTCAAATAACTAATGTGGCTCAGACGAGGTTTGAACGTGGCTCCTTTTAGCACGGTCAGATAAAGTATTCAGGCATACTTTTTTTAGGAAAATATTTGTCTTTTAGCTGTACTCGTGAGGTCTTCAGTTTCCCTGGGTGGCACAAACAGTTAAGTGCTTGATAACTAGCCGAAAGTTTGGCAGCTTGAACCCACCCAGAGGAGCTTTGGAAGACCGTTCTGGTGATCTGCTTCTGAAAGGTCACAGCCTTGAAAACCCTATGGAGCAGTTCTACTCTGGACATAGACGTTCACCATGAGTTGGAATCAACTTGATAGCAATGAGGCCTTCACCAATAGGTCCTACTTGTATTAACTTGCTGCATGACATATTAAAAAACCTCAATATTGTAAAAAATGTAGACATATCTTTCTATATTATAAATATATACTAGATACTACTACACTACTATAAAAAATATGCTGAAAATCTAGGTTCTAGTTCCAGCTGTGCCAATAACTACAGCTAAATGTGCGACATGAGGCAAATTCTTTAATTTTTTTGTTCTGCGCCTCAAAATTTTCTAATCTGTAAAGTGAAGGAGTTATACTAGATAATCTCTGTTGTCCATTCTGACTTTAAAATTATATGGCTCAAGAATAATTTTTCTCATTAAAAGGATTCATTGTTGTTTTCTTAAAATAAGAACTTCTGGTGCATTTAAATATTGATTTAACTATTTGACAGAAATGCTTAGGAAGAAAAACTGTTATCACTCCCAATCAGGACTCATTTAAAGTGAAGATGAATGATTTTTGACTTTATTATGCAAATCAATGAGAAAATATAATTTGTATTACCAAAATTCTATTTACATATATATTTCAGGTATTCATCTTTGACTAATAGTGAGATACACTTGTAAAGCAGTAGGCACAATATCAAGTGTCTCAACTAATTGTATAAAACATTTTGCTGAGCTAGTAATATTAGCATATGATTTTCATGTGACTATAGAGACTGTGAACTATTCACAAGTAATTTTCAAGTTCAAAATTTCATTACTATTACCCTGAAGGCTGTCATTTCCTGATTTTTCTTCTCTGATCCTTTTCACCTAACAACACGGGGTTTGATTCTCTTCACCATGGATGCTCAACTAAGAGAAGAACACATAGAGTCTAGGAATGTTACAACTTCCTTTGATTATTAACGTAAACAAGTCATTAGATTATGTCTCCTACTGCCTCTCATTGTTGCTGTCATCCATCTAGCCCTAGGTCATCCTAATTCTCTGCAACAAACTCCTTGAGTTTTCTAGTATTTTTGCGTCCCCAGTTACTCTCCGTACATTTTAACTTAAACCCACTGCAACTAAGCTTTCACCACAACCATTCAACTGAAACTATTTTTTTTATCACCAATGACCTGCACTGGCTAAATTCAATGACTACCTTTTTTTTTTTGGGGGGGGGGTAACAGCTTTATTGAGTTATAACTTACGCACCACACAATTTGATCATTTAAAGGGTACAGTCCAGTGATTTTTAGTATATTCACAACTGTATAACTATCACTACAATCAATCTTAGAACATTTTCATCACTTCAAACAGAAACTTTGT